TCTGAAGGACAGGAAATGGGGAAAAGTACAAAGGAAATAAAAAAAAAAATTGTAAAATGTTATTGAGGAAATTCAAAATACCATCTTTTATAAGCATGACATTTAAAATGTACAGAGATTGTTGAATACACAGTTTTCTAAAATATTAGTATCATAACATATAACTAACCATTTTTATTTCTATATCACATAGCAGTGAGGTTTTCACACTTCTATCAGAGTCCATTTCTTTGTGTTCCTGTCCTTAAGTATTTCAAATCTTGCTGATTTGTATCAAAAACACCTGCTCAGTGCTGAATGAAAGTGAAGCCCATAAAAAGGAGTCAACATTCAGCCAAAAACAGCCATACACTGAGTCATACTATGAATGAACTGGTTGAGCATAAGGTGGGAGAAAACACCAGTGTGTTTTAAAACATGAATCCCCAAACTTAAACATTTTATACCCCTCTTCCCAACCTTCCCTCCTCCCCACCCCACAAAATTGATCTCTAAGTCCTTACTTACTAAAATAAAGACAAGCACACAAAAGCTTTCCCCCTTTTATATTGAAGGCAATTTATATCCAGATACTTGTATCCTGAACTTTCCCCCTTAAACTGTTTTTTGACAGAGCAAAATACATGGATTAATAAAGTAGGATCTCCCTTGTCAACCCCATCCTAATCAAGAAAAAGTGATAAACCCCATCCTGGATTGAAGCTGCATTTCAAATCATGCTGTTATTCTGGTCTACCATTTCCCCCTACTTAAACTACTGTATACTACATTGGTGTTCTGATTCTACTGCTACTTCTGCTAGAGTGTGGCACTCTGCTGGGGAAGAAGCCTAGTCAAAACAATATTAATTATCCCCATGAAATCTGCATTTTGTTATCATAGAAGCCTTTCATTCAAGGACCTCAAAACTCTGAGCCCCTCCGGCCTGAATGCCATAGGATTTGACAAACTCTGATCTGTAGCAGTTTCCTTTATTTAAGTGATCTCACTACTGTTATTGATTTGTATAATTTGTTATAGAGTGTGTCACTTCGGATACATTGTCCCTCACTTGCTATGACCTAACCAGGTTTGTGCAGTATCATGTGAATCTCTTACCTTTTCCAATGTCATCTCTGTCTCTGCAGCATGTGTCCTTTTCAGGTCTAAGGCCATCTTTTCCGACTCTGCTTTAAGCTTATTCACTGCAGTCTCGTGATCCCGAGCAGCCCTCTGCTTTTCTTCTTCCCGCAGAAGGCTAAGCTCTACCAACTGCTGCTTCCGCTGAGCATTTACCTGAATAAGCTCTTCTCTCAGCTTGTGGATTTGGGCCTCCATATCATGGATAATCTTAAATTAAAAAAAAAGGAAGAACACTTCTTATATGACTTCTCTGATCAGACTAGCATAGGGAACAAGCTAGAAGAATTCCCTTTCTCCCCTCCCATTAGAATTCATCTGCACTTTAGGATTCTCCCTTTCTCTTTTACCCTGCCTTTGCCTTCACACACAAACGGAAAAAGCTTCCTTCTGGCCAAAGTTTGGATGGAGGCTATCAGCAATGCCACAGAAGCCAGCAAGAAAAGCCTGCTTTAGGGCCAAGGTAGAGTTCCAAACTTAGTACCCACTCACCCTCCCTTTCACTCCACCAAACAATCAGCTTTACCATTCATTTTGTTCATTCTTCCAGTCCTGGCTTTGTATCTTTTCCTATACTATTTCCTCTCAATCTCAGTGTGCCAAGCCCCCACCCTCTTCTTACTAAACTCCCTCTTTAAGACACTTCTTCAGTAAAGTCTACACAAAGAGGATGCAGCTCCAGGGCTAGCTAACACTGTTTGTGAACCTGTCAGGCAGCTAGAGGATACAAACATGTGATGCCCAAGGCCATTTTTTTTTAGTGTATGTTAAAAAAAGATTTTTCTGTATTAACAGGATTTGGGTCAACCAGTGCTTCACCCACCATACATGAAAATCACTTATAACTGATAGTTACTGAGTGTAAACCACATTCCTGGCTAGGGTAGACCATCTAAACAATGACAATAACATGTATCAATTTGAAACTTATAGTCTTTGGCAAGGTAATTGGAGGAAGATGGACCCCGATATTATTCTAGATTTAGTTATGATCTGATAAAGTGCTCATGACAAAGGTTAGCAAGGGCAGCAAAATTAATAGAAAAATACTGAGCTCAAAACTAAATATAACAGTCCTACCGTTCATAAAACCACCCTAGTTAAAGACAACCAATCCAAGAGAAGAACAACAAAAAAGGTAGATATCAAAAACAAAATACTGTCAAAATCATGAAAAAATTCCTTCCTTAGAGGTTTTTAAGGTCAGGCTTGACAAAGCCGTGGCTGGGATGATTTAGTTGGGGATTGGTCCTGCTTTGAGCAGGGGGTTGGACTAGATGACCTCCTGAGGTCCCTTCCAACCCTGATATTCTATGATTCTATGACTGACCAAAGCAGCTTTGGTGTATGATATGAAACTTGGTAAATTTGGGTTCTGATGAAAAGTAAGTTTGAAAAAGGAGCATTAACCGTGAGACCTCTGCCACTGATTTCCAGGCACTGAGAGACAAGACAACCCAACAGACTCAAATTGTCATGAAGGAACATAGCCACTTAAACAACAGGGTTCTAGCCCTTGTAAGACTTACAGTATGGTCATTAAGGCCTAAAACCGTACCCTGAAATGAACAGGTAGACAGTGCAGACGATGTAGCTAAGTATATTGACTTTCCTCAATTGGAAGACAGGCCATTGTGTTCTGAACAAGATGAAGCACCTAAGGGTTCATGAAGGGCCACATAAAAGAGAGTGCATTATTGAAATCCAGCCTGGAGATGGCAAAGACATGGGTCACTGTGGCAAAGTCTTCATCTGAGAGGAAAGATGACTGGCTGACTGCTAATAGAAGAAGACATCTACACAGGACCATCATTATCTACATACCAAGAAGCCACGAAGAATTTAACAAAACCTCCAGGCTCAGCACTATGTTGATAAAGGTGCAGGCACAGTCTTTCTTCTCTCTATGTGAATTCCCAAAACTAGCAGCAACACTTCCATCATGGCCAGATTCATTCCCAGCCAATTCATTCCCATGCATCTCCAAATCTTGGTTAGACTTAAAGAACGCACAACAACAGATGACAGAGGTTGATGGATTGCCAAGACTCATCTAACTTGTCTCAGGCAAGGGATAACATTTTCAAAAGTAGCAGAGTGACTTAGGAGCCTAAATCCTATTAGGTGCATTTGAAAATTTTACAAAAGAAAGGTCCTCAGATGCAATAACAGACTACCCTAATTATAACACAGTACTCACTCTTTTCCAGCACCTCAGAATGTAAGTTTCACAAAGTTAGACTCGTCTACCATATATAATTTATATCATTTTATGCATCATCTCTTGTGGTTTTGAAAAGGATGTATTTACACAATTTTGTAACCTTTTGTGGCATTACTTGTTTCGGTAAATAAGACTGAATAAAGTGATCAGTACACAGCTTCAGACATCTTAGTCAAGGGAACACTGAACACATTTGGACAAGTGAGGTTCTGGATAATCAAGGGATTTTTCAAGATAATTAAGACACTGAGAACCTGGCTCCATTTGGATAAAAAGGAATTGTGGGTAACCAAGTGTTGTTAATCTAGGGTTGTACTATATTTCTAAACACATAGTGCTTCTATTAATAGAATTTTCATGATGTGGATTCTTGTTCCATCTTCCTTTCCCTGGTCTGTAATTTTCTAAATGTGAATTTCTTTCAAAAGATTCATGATTTCAACTAAGCTTTGCATTCGATATTGTCCAATTATTCCTGACTTTTGTCTATCATATGTTGAGTTCCTTTAGAAGATAACAGATTGTCTCCTTGGAAGCAAAGTACAAAGTAACAGAAGATAATGAGAGACATACAAGAATTGCATTCTACTATTCTTTTATTGATTTCATCATTTCTAGTAGGTTTTTCATGATAAACCTTCAATATATTTCCATCTTGCGACTATAAAGTAAAAATGTTCTGATTTTAAGAATTACAATACATGCCGTAATGAACCATATGTATGTAGTTTTGAACAAGAACATTTTCACTGAAAGGTTATACACTGTGTGGATGTGTGTGTGTATATATATATATATATTTATAGTTATAGTTATAGTTATAGGTTAGCTCATAGGAAACAGTTTACTGGGATCCATTCACATACATGTCATAGCAAAAAACGGTTACCTACCTTTCTTAACTGTTGTTCTTCGAGATGTGTTGGTCACGTCCATTACACATTAGGTGTGCGCGCATTGCGTGCATGGACGTCGGAAACTTTTTCGCTCAGCGGCTCCTGTCGGGCCGGCAGGGGTCCCCCCCGCCAGAGCGGTGCCCCGCTCTAGTGTATATATATCCTTGTGGTCCCGACCCTCCCTCGGTTCCTTCTTGCCAGTGACTCCAACAGAGGGGAAGGAGGGTGGGAAGTGTAATGGACGTGAACAACACATCTCAAAGAACAACAGTTACAAAAGGTAGGTAACCGTTTCTTCTTCTTCGAATGATTGTTCACGTCCATTATACATTAGGTGACTCACAAGCTTACCATTGGAGGAGGGTAGGAGTCAAGTAACAATTGATTGAAGCACAGCCCTGCCGACCACCGCGTCCTCTCTGGTCTGATGATGGACTGCGTAATGGGCTGTGAATGTATGTACCGACGACCTGATGGCCGCTTTACAGATTTCCTGGAGTAGAACCTGCGCCAAGAAAGCCGCCGAGGATGCTTGGGCCCTAGTCGAGTGAGCCCTGATCGCCAGGGCTGGTACTTTGGCGAGCTCATAGCATGTGCGGATGCAAAGCACAATCCATGCTGATAATTTGATGTTGCTTGCTACCAGGAAGATTTTCATGAGAAAGAGAGAAAATAATGATTTGCAACTCTAGAAACTGTTGCTACTGTGTCTATGACTATCTCACATAGACTTGGCTTGCCTTCACCTGGTCAGATGTTAAACATGTTGTCAAGTCATCTTAATTAATGGCCTCTGTTTCAGAACATCCTAGAATCAAAAGAGCAATAGTATAACTGGCCAGAAGTGAGGAATGCCACAGAGTAGTTTCTATATAACCCAATTAGCTGTAACATTATATGCGTAGTTTCTGCCTCTTTGTGTCTGTTCCTGCTCAGTGCTTTATCACTTCAAAGAAAATTAAAATTCACTTATTCATTAAAACAATTCAATATACTAATTGTCAGCTGACTCCAAAAGGAGATATTTCATTTGTTTCTACAGCATTGTTAAGGTGCTCTGATACCATGGTGAAAGATGTGGTAGACAGAGTGCTGCTCACCACACAGTAGATTGTTTGTAAAAGGCCTATCAAACATGGCCAAAGAAAAGAAGGATTTTTAATAATTGGTGATAAAGTTTCAGTTGCATATTTAGAAGATATACCTACAATATAATGTCCACATACATGAGCCAGATTTCTTGAATAGACATTTGACTTCCCATTTCAGTAACAACACATGTTTCACTGTAGAGCTGACAGGCTCTTTGCATAGGAGTGTAGCCTCCCATAGATAAAAGTAATCTAACTCCTAATCATTAAAGGTGAATACAAATAAGCTGGCAACCTGAACGAAGTGTAAATGCACAACAGTTTAAGGTCAAACACATT